TGAAATTAAAAGTAGGTGAAACCGCAGGCGAGCTAGTAAGTTGTATTATTGTAAAGTTTCATAAAATTTTTCCACCTTTGTGTGAAAGAGTAACAAACATCCACCCCATCCATCCATATTCACAAAATTTCGCATTTATAATATTAGTAAGTTCATGTTAAACTCAACTAGTTCCAAATAATAAAACGAGTATAAAAACAGTTGCTAAATATTTGTGCGTCTTTACTCCCTTGCTATCATGAATAACGCACGAATAAAAGATACAATATTTAATGTTGCATAATGCAAACCGACCAAAGTTATCATTATTGTTCTCAAAAGATCATTTAGTATCCATAACTGAAACCTTTTGTGTATAATTATTAGCAGTCGTTAAATTTTCATATTATTCGAACCCTACTAGTTACGCGGACAGGAGACATGACTTATTTAGTGCCCATGTTGCGTTTCCATCCTTAATCTGCGTGGGCGCATATTTCTGAGAAAACATTTCTTGTTCACTGTACGTAATGCTGCTAAGAAAACAGAAGTAATAATGTTGGCCATACTTGTATGGTGAAGAACTCCGTAAATGAATCATCGCATATGCGTTCCTCGTATGAGCACAAAAAGAGGTTTGTCGAAAATGCGCCTCGTTTAGAGTGCTCTGTACCCGCGGGTTACTGTCTGTATTCATCCCTTATTTATTTATGGTATGGAGAATGTATGAGGTATGTGTAGTTTTTGTGATGCCATAACAGAGCTCGCCCAGCGTCCAGTGCAGTACGAACCAACTCAGTAAATTCTTTAATTGACGAAATGCAGCGACACTGCATTCCAAGTTGGATCGTTAGCTTTAATGTGAGAATATAAAATGGATTAATAATTAGATACAAATTTTCACTATTGCGAAAGAAGCATTCTTATGCTTATGAGCTTAAGAAATTAGCTAATTAGTTTACAGTGCAACCTGTTTTGTAGCTACTTATTGTAGTATATGTAGGTATATTTTTTTAGAAATCTGATGAAATTCGTTCATACACAGAAACAGAATTTCTTAATGAAGTTAACTGAATATTTTTCTTAAACTAAGAGTTGCTATGTTACATTTATGAATGGCATAATATTTTGAATTACAAAATTATTCAGAAGTGGTTACATTTAAGCACTACATACGTAAGAATATTTTAATACACGTATGCAATTAAATTCACGTAATTATACTTAATGCGTGTCTACCTATGGTACCAGTAATGCTAAAGGAAAGCTTACATTTAGGTACCTATAGGTAAGATAAGTTGAGAGTTTATCAAGGCGTCCTACCATAAGCATTAGTCTGTGCGTTTATCTTTTATATGTTGCTAAAATGAAGTGGGTTGTTAATATAATATGCTCGTGTGATAGGTAGCAATTTTAATAATACGGTAATATTAATATCTTAGTGAGAAAAATAACAACCGTTAAGGCATGTTCATTTTAATATTATCTCGACGTAATGAGTCGTTAGTTGCGGTCGATACTAGTTTCTCTTATCATCGATGATAAAACATGCGTAGATTTGAGCCCCACCCTACACTTTCTCCTGCGGGTACTCACTACACCTGCCGGGTGAACGAGGTGAAGCTGTACAGCCTGTTCCGACGCTAATGCCTGATTCAATATATTCTACGGTCCGGTTCACATTTATGGATATGTAGCTACGTGAGGTTATTGCATACGAGTCAGGTTAAATACACTAACGCGAAAGTTTCCCATAAACTTATAAACAAATGTCCAAGCATTTGGAATAAACTTTTAAACGCGATAAGGAAATTTTAGACAAATATTATCTGCTGCCACTCTAGGATTTAATTAAGATATTGATAATGATACTTTGTAGCGGAGAGGCAACGACCGCAGAGGAAAGCGCGGCTGGCGGGCGCACGCAACCCTGCCAGACGTGCGTGCCGCTCCGTTACGACACCTACACCAAATTTTTCCACATGCCCGAACAGCAGATAAGCGGCGAGTGACGCCAACGTGTTATTTATTAACGAACCGAATGATCGATAGTTGGACGCGTCGCCGGACGTGGACGATGGAACGTCGCCTTTCGAAACTCGTTGCTGTAGCCGACAGCCTGATATTTTCATTGTAACTTTACAAGTAATACATATATTGGAAACACTCAGTGCGCAATGTTACCCATGTCAATATTTATGTAAATTACATTTAGGTTTGCCGACATCATTCGATAAAGATATTTTTCGGATTTCTGTGGTATATGTATAAGATAAAGTTATTTCAGTTACCACTGTAACTTCCCACATGTAGTGTAGATACAATGAAATTTAAGTATTCCTGTTATTACAGAAATATATTTGAACGGACTACTCACTTTCATAATAAAAATGTTTAAAGAACCCGTCTATCCTGGTGACCACTCGGATCAATTCCTAGTGGATTTGTCATGTGTTATAGTGTAATAAGGGTCATAATTAGTCCATAATGTATCAAAACATGAATTAAGCACCTGACCTTATGGTCACCTCTGCATTGTTTATTGGTTCTCGCCATTGTACACCGCCATTGTACACCGTTAGAGAACGCGGAATTACTATTTCATTACCCATCCACAAAATATATATTTTAATAATTATCCTAATTTGTATAAATTCTCAACAGATTATTATCTGTGACGTAATTATAAAGGTATCACAAGCCGGTAGTATGTTGCACAGCAGAGTGCGGCCATATGAGACTTAATGACGTTTACAAAAGTGATTAAATAAATTGCCAACTATTAATAATTCTTCTACGGCGATACCCGTGTAATGCGATTCACTTCTTAATACAAGGTTAATTTTTAATATACTGGATAATAGGTAAAAATTATTTCAGATAGTGCCATATGGTGTAACTATTCTCACTCTATGTAACTGTAACAGTATACAGGGAATATACTCGTATGTTAGTACCAATATGTATACAATTACAAAGATACCATTTATGTAAATTAAATCTGTGTAGTATCTTTGGTAGATAGTACAGCGAATGGTTAATCATTGCCTATGTATATGAAGCTAACTACTAAAAACACTTATGAATAAAATTAAAATAAAACAGACGAACAATTTAGTTTCACTTTCGTGAGTGTCGTCAATTTATTGTGTCACTTTTCATCAAGGGTACGCAACTCATCTGAGAAACGGTCGTGCACTGAATGGCCGTGTCGAATGCTTTGTTTGTGTAACTGAGACTCCTTCAACCCTTGCGCGGAGCTATCCGTTCCGCTCTAGCATACGTCACGTCCTCGTGACAGCTGTGTCAGATACTTTCTAATCGCTCCATTGAATAGACAACGGCAAACAAACAGTCAACGAGTAGGCAACTTGCGAAATCCTAAATAGCTCGAACAATTGACAGCGAAGAAAAGAGTAATCAATTAATTATTTATAGAGGTGCCAGCCAACAAGCGGTTTGTCAAATTGATTACGTAAATAGAGACGATGCAAGCGCACATTTAATAGTCGTATAAGCTCATAATGTAAACATGAGCTCGTATGTATACGTGTATCGGTTCGAGGCGAACGTGATAGGAAACAGTCGGAAATTCGAGGTTCAGCTGCGCAGGGCAGGTTAGACCAGTCCCGATGGCCTCGCAAGGACCCCAGCAAACCTGTTAGATTCGTTGCACGATTTTTACGTGCGCACCTACCGGAATCTCATTCACGTGGTGCACCCGCGCCGCCGCCCGGCCCCCTGCGCCACCGGCTGCCAGTTAACTCGTCAAATGACTCACGCTTCGGTTAAATGCCAGAAGCTGGCTTTTCCAGTTCTCTGATCCAATTCGCGTATTCTATTCTTATCTGGTACAAACACAGTGTAGATTTATTATATATATAGTAGTATAGCCTCCATGAAGGATCGAAATTATAAGAGGAATTGATTGGAAACTATGTAAATTAATATAAAATAATAGATATTTGAAAACTACAATAGTGATTATAGGTTTTATAAATTTAGAGAACTCATATTTAGAGAAATTTATGATAATCTATAAATTACTGTAATCAACACAGATATTCTTGCAAGTGTAATTTGATATATACTCGCAACCTTTAAAAAACAAGACCAATAAAATCAGAGCATTTATATAGTACTTGATAGAAGTACAGTATGAACTTGGGCGTCATAGTGTTGCGAATACTGCGACATCAACCAACAGAAGTGAAACTAGTGAAAATGGGCATGTACCTCCTGCATTATCTAATGCAATGTGTATTGTTAATCTATTTATTACGTAAGTCATAACTACTTCGATTTTTTATAAAAAGTAATGACCTCCCGAGACATAAACACGACCAGGAACAGGAATCAGGTAGAACTACTATCCGGTCAAACCCGTCCGACGCGTGCTTCCAACATTTTTTATTTATTTGTCTGCATGGTCGGATACCGCTGAGTGTGACGTCAGACGACCTAAACTGGTTAGTGAGGGAGCAGGGATTTGCCTTGTATCCTTCCGGTTCTGCGAGTAGTTTGGACCTGTTCTACATCAGGTTGTGAGGCAGCAAGCAATCCAGCCAGCATGACGTATGACCAATACGAAGAACTGTTATCGATCCACCCGAATAAGACTGCTTCCAACGCCTCCGCAGCGCACTGTCTCCGCCTAATAATTTCTCATTTCACTCTCGAACTGGACACCTGTCTTGCTGACTCACGCCTCTGTGTACGCAACAATTAGCAAACGTAGCGTCGCATTATGCAGACGACCGCTGGTGGGTACCATCAAAGGTCAGTATCCGTACCAAAATGGTCACGCCTAATAACTGGTTCGGAAGTTGTACTCGGTCGACTCGTAAAACTACAGGCTTGGGATACCAGTATTTTACGCTATGTTTACTCGATTGATGAACTGAATGAAAATTTATGTTTGCATTATATGCTATTTTATTTCTTGAAATGTACAACAGAGTCGCTGTGAGAAAGTGGTTCTGATTTTATTTTTAACCATAAATGTTTTGTTTTGTTAACAGGAGACGCAAAGAGGCAATGGAAGTGGGGGGAGAGTGGCGCGCATACTATTCCAGTGGGGCAGAGCATCCGCTGAGTGCAGCCACGTCGGCAGTACTCGGGGTAGCGGACGATACGCAACCCCAACCTCTGGTGACCGAGTACTACAAACTACCACCGCTGGCTCAGGACTCCCACCTCAGTTTACATAAAGAAAACCCGAAACTTATTGATGTCTGGCCGTGAGTCCAAGAATTTTGTTGATTCTTTATACATTACTATAATACTTAATAAACTACTTAAAAGTATACCTAAGTAGATTTTACTAAAATATTTTAATACTATAATTATTATTATTGCAATTTGTTAGTAATTTATTAATAGCCACGACTTCGTCCGCGTGGTATTTAACTTTATTTTTCTAAAATAAATGTAGCCTAAGTTACTCTTTATTACATCAACGACCTGCCAAAAAGCCAGCCATTGCAGAGATTAGCTGGAACAAACAGACAGACAGATAGTGAGACAAAAATTGTAAAAAATGTTATTTTGCCGTATGTGACGTATTTAGGTATATTCATATGCAAATAGTAAAAAATGGTTTCTTCAATATTACAAACAGGCACCCCAATTTCATTTATATGTATAGATAACTTCATAAAATTGAACAAGAAAACGATCCAATTATAGTTTATATCTACATCTATTATATAAAATACTTTTATCTAAAGGAACATCTAAGGGCGCCGATATAGAATAATCTGTCAAAATCAAGTGATAAATATCGTCAATATTTCTTAACATTAAACTTGAAAATAAGAAAATGATCACGGAAAATCAATTGCCGCTTCTCACGGCCGTACATCAAATCGAACATTCGTGTATCGGAGCAATTATTATTATAATCGGTGAATTTAGAGGCGCGGTGAATACAGAATGAATTCGCGTAAAATTTATATGTAAACTATGATAATAACTATGCAATCTTTGTAACGCATAGTTTTTGTACAGTTACTAGCGGGGTTGTGTTCGTTGAGTCTCACGGACGAATACACTGAGACAAGACGCCTCGTGGCTTCCGGCCCTAACGAAAGGTGTAAGAATAACAAATAATAAAAATGTTAATGTTCCACTCAATAAATCATATGTGCTCATTTGAATACCTATAGCGGGATTAAAGAAATGGGAGTTCGCAACTGCTACGCATGATGAGATTCCTTTGTACCTGCTCACAGATTTTATTTGTAAATTAACATATTTTCGCAATTTGGTTAAAGCTTGCAAAAAAATACTGTAAATATGCCAACTTTAATCATTTGACGATAGTAGTAACTGATACTATAAAAAAATATTTAACAGGAGATTATTTTGGTATTCTACTCTACAAAATTGTAATGAAGGCCTAGTTTCATAATTAATAAAAAATGCATATCTACGTATTTCATCTAATACTTCATTATTGATTAAAAAAAATAATTTCTATTTAAAAATGTTGATAGTTTCAGAAAATAAAAACTGTAACTTCTGATGACATAACTTCATACAGTTGGATGCACATTCATCTTTACTACGTATTCCCATAGAAACGTGACCCCGATCAAATTATGCTCGCTCTTTGAAAGAAGTTGTTAACAGCATCCTCTGAATAGCCGCGTAAAAGTGAGCAAACGCCGTATTACATTCTTAATACGAGGAGTGCATAATGTTAATTTGATCCTGTACGGACCGTTTACTTATATTTATGAACGTTTTATTTTATTCCACGAACACAGTTATGACGGTAACTTATTTGTAACCATAAAAATGTTAATTTTATGTATAACATTTCGAAATAAAAGTCTATAGGTATCTAAATATTCCCTATAATTGCGATGGAGTAAGTTGTTGGATGTGCACTATATATTACTGTGTAACAAAGATAACATTTGAGGTGGTAAATAAATTCCTCCTACGTAGCACCGCACACGTCGATGTCGCAGCAGAGGGTCCACGCCTGCCGGGACGCCTATTGCTCTTGCTTCATTAACGTTAGCGTTGTGGTATGCAAAGGCGCATTTGGTCTGTCATCTTTGTCACTGTTTACGGGAGTGCATAAATACAAATAGTGACAATAGACGGATGTGGATAGAAGCGGCTCACATTGACAAGGACGGCCAGGACTTGTCTCGGCTTGTTGTCGGCACGCGTCCCACGCGCCCGGTTCAACGTGCGCTGCTATTGCTCATTCATACATTCAAAATTATAACGAATGCTTAAACTCGCCCGCACCCATCAGAACGCGTCGTGTCTTCGAATGCGTTTGTATGCTAATCGTTCAGCGCCAGTGCATCGTCAGGTTTGGGGCGCTATGTTTGTTGTCTAAATCGCTCGTATTATTTGAATTGAATGCTCAATTGATGTAGGAATGAACTAGTTCCGTCCGTATAGGTCCCTTCGAGATCCGTACTCGTGGGTGTGGACGAGTTTCGTAAACGCATTGCGTAGTAAGCGGGCGCTGTTTGCCTTCTCTCCCAGACACTACGGATATAATACTAACTGATAGATACAGCGACTGAAATCATTAATAGTTGTCGGACAGTGTCGAATACTAACGTAAGGATTAGCATAGAAATGCGCTGCGGGATGCCTAGGGGAGGGCCGTGTCCTTTTGACCCTATCACTGTTCACACTTGCTACGCTAACGGTAAATCAGTTTCTCTGTAGATACCTGTGAGTACATTATACTACCTAAGTACATGATATTTAAATACTAACGTGTAACACATTATCGATTGAAATTGCATCGAATAAAGATGACAGTAAGGTTAATTTAAGATATTTGACTAATATTTATTATTTTTAAATATAAAAAAATAATTCATTAATTATCAAATCCTTGGTATTTTATATGTTACTTAAGTGAAATTGTAAATCCGCACATGATTCTTAATATTAACGTATCTTATTACAATAACTATTAAATATTAGTAGATATGAAAAATTAAAAAAACGTCATTGGCAAGTGTTAGTTTAGAGTGTATGTCGCTGGTGTCGCGGTAGTTTAACAAAAACTCAGGGAGCAGAAACCGTGTGACCCATTTAGCACTAGAACCGGTTTCTTCGTGAAGATACGTCTCCATTGTTAATGTCATCGTCGTTAATACCATTGAATTCCCTTAGAAATATCCAACCCTCTTACAAAAATATAATGCATAAAAAGATAGTAAAATCTTTTTGTCCCTGACAGTCGTGGTCATCGCGACGCAAAATATGAAATCGAGGTTTGACCATTCTTTCTTGACCATTCCTTTTTATGCGAACTGCTCATTCATTGCGCAACCGGGTCCAGTGTAGCCCTTAGAAGAAATTATACATACACAAGCTCGCGAATTATTACTTAGAGCCCTCTGATAAGTATTATTATCATTTATCCCGTGTCAGTGGGTAAATACCGGTAGATATAATTAGACTTAAGGAAAATTTAACGGAAAGTTTAATTACTTACTTAGTCATGTGTAATGGACGATCATTTTAATGACATAGACAAATGGCGAAATCGATTTCAATTAAAGTTTTTGATAATGTATTAGTTCCGTGAGAAAAGTAGTAATAAACCTACATTTAGTCGAATGATATATTCAAATAAAATGGTTGCTCACATCCGCTGCAAGCGCCTCCTTCATCTCATTTTATTGGCCGTTGATTCTAATCTATTCGTCAACCTGTGGATAACCGTCGTCGCTTTAGATTTTCTTTGCGATATCACTACGTAAGCGTTATATTTCATTCGTGTTATTTTAAAGCTTCAATCTATCACTCTATCGCTCTATATAAAAAATATTGCCGCTTTCAATGCGCACAAAACGTGTGATGTATTCATTAAATATCAATAAGACCCAATGAGTCAGTCATAATGAGATTATTACTGGCCATACTATTTCCTTTGGAATGTCATATTAATTCAATAATTTAATTATAAATGTAGAATAAACAAAATAGTGGTTAAACTGTATATTGATAAACATAATATGCAAAAAAATAGTACTTACCTAGAAAAAATCGTAATTCCTAGAATAGGTTGGCCGTAAAAATCTTAATTTTTTTTATTATATTTTCAGATGCACAAAATGTCGTATCGCAGTACGAGTACATGTATTGCCTTCGTTGTATGTTTACATTTAGTAAAATTTTTCTTTAATTTTGTCCGCGTTCTTATCGAGAAATTTAAAACTTGCACTTCAGTGATCTCTTTTGTGATTCATGAATAAATAGTTTCCATACACATTGAATATGTAGGGTTGTTGCACCCCAGTCTGACATTGTTGAGATCTCATCATCTGTGAAAGGGTGTTAAGTAAACATTGCAAATAATTATAATGGCAATTGCATCCGAGAGGTGCCCCGATTCAACTCCGATAAGAAACTGCGTATTTGCATGTAAATCGATGCATACAGTTATAGATGAGGTGCTTATTTTTACCTTTTATAACTTGCAACTGTTATGGTAATTTTCCTGCAATATGACACTGATATCAGATTAAAAGTTTTGAGAATGTTTCATGAAGAGCATGCCGCTTCTTGATTTAATATTATTGAATGCGGATTGTTAGTTATATGTATGGGATTGCTTTAGGAATGTAAATGTCAAAGACATTTGAAACATTTTATTTCCTAGTGATGTAGAAAAAATAATAATAGGTATATTGTTAAATTATATAAACAAGTATAAGTCTGTACGGTAATTAGAAAGATAAGGTAAATGGAAAAATAAAATTAAAAAATGACTATTAGTTGTATTAAAATACAAAACGGTGTCATATATAAGGTAGGTATACCTACCCCAAATATCTCCATAAAACGTTCACATGGTTTTCTAAATTAATTTGTTTATATTGTTACTAGCTACTCGCCCCGACTTCGCGCGGGTGTACATGTGTTATATATAGAAACCTTCCTCTTGAATCACTCTATCTATTAAAAAAAGCAGCTTCAAAATCCGTTGCGTAGTTTTAAAGATTTAAGCGTACATAGAGGGACAGACAGCGACAGCGACTTTGTTTTATACTATGTAATGATGTTAATTGATGTAATTGTTAGTAGGTATATCACTTGAAATGCAAATTTGTTTATGCGCAGATTGGTGGTGCCGATGATAATTACCTAATCGAGCACCCACGCCACTATCATTGTGCTAAGTTTACAAGTTGCAGTTTTACAACGCATACCGTTAGGCAACGAACATGGATAATATTTTGTAGAGCTCTTACGGGATGCTTGCTAGGAGTATTTTGTATCCTATTTTAAAACATTTTGCTCTGTGTGTAGGTGTAGTTTATGTAAAAAAAACCGTTAGTTTCGCTCGACTTCAAAGAAATTGTTCAACTTCAGCACTGTTAAATTGTATGAGCTAATGCTGTTAGCTGAGAGTTGGGATTCAGCTGTCAGCAGAGATCGCTTTGTGTCGCGTTTTTGCAGTGCCAACAATGAACGACAAGCAAACAACGTATTGTGTGTAGCGTGCACGTATGAATAACGATATCTCGCCGCCGGCGCATAGTACCGTGTAGAGTAGGTACTACCTGGATTATCAGACATCTGATTTGCATGTTATGCAATTATATATATTGAAATAACTTATATATACCCAGGATTATATGTCTTGCTGAAACGAAATTTCGTTTTTTTTAATTTGGCTTATCATAACATCTGGTATTTCACACCCGTCGCATTTCTTTTACAAATGTCTGGCTTATATAAATTCGCAATGAAGGATCTGAGAAAGAATTATAATCAGACATGCTCGGTGGAACATCCAGCTTGCGGGAGGTCGCGCGTCCCGGCCAATTCGGACGCATGAAATAGTGCCGCGCGACTCGCTTATCTAAAATAAACATCTGAGCGCCAATGAAACATGCCTTCAATTATCATAAATCGGCGCGCACTGACATCGACCGACGAAAGCCGCGCCCCGCGCCACTTGCGGAGGTGGCTGCATTCACATGCAAACAAATCAAATGACTTTAATGTACCTACCTCCCTACCTAATTGCCTATGCAAACTTTGATATTTACCGTTTTGCGATGTGAACGAACAAACTTGATATAAAACGTTCCTTTGAAAATGGTGGAATATTTCCAGCTAAAAGCGACTATATCTATTTGTTATTTATAATTTATTACTAGAAATTTATGAATAAATTGTAAACTAGCAGTAGGTATTATCAAAGTGATTTAAGTTTTGTTACAATTTATTGAGCGATATTCATAGTAGCATTCGAAATACAATAGATATTTCCGTATTTTATTAGTGTTTAGTTACATATACTATCAACTAAGTGTATATTTAAGTGTAAGTAATAAGTGAATATTTTTAGTTTAGTGTAGATCCCTATTTGTGTAAGTAGGTTTGATATATTGATTAAATAGTACCTTTTATGAAACAAGTTTTTTCGGTCTTATCGAAGCTCCATCGATCTATTAGATCGTTGATTAAGAGTACATCTTCTGTCTAGATTAATAAAAAAAAATGTTAAGTTAAGTTACACCAAAAATGTTAAGAAAAAAGATTAAAAAATGTATAGAGAACTGAATATAAGTATTGCCAAGTCTCTTAAAATTTCTACTTTCATACACTGTGAAAAGTCATATGATATCATGTAGAGCCAAGCCTGTAATTTTCTTGAATGCTCAATTATAAAATAATGAGGAATGGGTAGATGTTACTTATTAATGTGCCTACTACGTATTTACTATTATTACTGAAATGACGTACTGCTGAAATTTGTACAATTATATACCTGCATATTTAAAAATCTCATAAATTATTTTATTCATTATCTTTTTTGATCTTTTTACCTATTGTGTAGTTAGTGGAAGGTAGGTACCTGATAAAAACATGATATTTCTAAAGAAAATATCAAAAATATTTATAAATATGTATTCTGTTAAAAGTCAGCGTGAGTATTTACCTCAGTCTCCCCTATTTCATCCGTCAAGCAGCTTGTTTTGTGTACTGTTTCGGTTTTAATGTGCGATTGGATTGTGAAATTACAAGATAAAGTATCTTAGTTCTTTCCAATAGCATGAGTGGTATCACTAGTGTTACATGATAATGTGATGTCAGTAGAACTGTTCCTGTATAAAGGTACCGTTTACTGCTTATCATCTGGTGGCCCGCTAGATTGTTTGCCATTCCAATTACATAGAAAAAATAATAAATTACTAGTTATTGACTCTTTACAATAGTTATTAATACAGATAAGAAATCTGCAAATGACAGCAGGAAATTGGAATTACTCTTCATTTAGGGACCCGGTAGGGCTCGGTAGTATTATCGGTTAGTATTTTTATTATTAGTATTAAACCGGTGACTGTTTTGGAGAAACGACTGATATTTATTTTTATTGGACTGATGTTACAACTTGTATACAAGTTCGATCTCTACCTTATTGAATACTAGCTACTCACCCCGGCTTCGCACATGTACATGAATTATATATATAAACTGTTCTCTTGAATCACTCTATGTATTAAAAAACCCCACTTCAAAATCCGTTGCGTAGTTTTATAGATTTAAGCATACATAGGGATGGACAGCAAGCGACAGCGACTTTGTTTTACACTATGTAATGATGGTAATTGTGGCCTTTATCTACATGAACAGAATATCGGCACGGATAGCATAAATATAATTATATTTTGCGTAAAAGTATATCGTAACGCAACTCTGTAATATTTTTTCCTCTGAAGAATATAGGGAATGGTATAATTTCTGTTTCATAATTTGATTGTAATTATAAAGTCAATTGTTGCTTAAATAATTTATTTAGAACATTGATAAATGTTCTAAGTAAAGTAAGTAAAGTCTGTACTTCGGTACAGGCATCAAGAGAAAGCATTTGGGGTTTACCAACGTGTCACGTGAAGATGTAAATTATGTATTGGAATCAAAATTATTTCGTATTATCGTTTAGATATAAGTTTTGTAGTCGACGTCTAGGTATTTATTATTAGATGCATGTTTTTCCTCCATTCCATATTATTATGATAATGATATATTTTAATACAAATTAATAATGTTGCATTTAAAGTATGCGTTGTAAAGATATATCTATATTTATTGGTTGTTTTTTTTTGTACAAATAATATTGAGATGTTTATTCTCCACCTATAATAAACGTACATACCTATATTTATATTGGAGTGATCACTTACTTTTTTTTCTTACCTAATATATGTTATGCTATATAAATATGTAGGTACAGTTAAGGCAGTACAGGCTTAGTATATATTACTTTACATACTAAAATTAATGATATGGGAATGTAATAATTACTTAAGTATATCTGTTTGCTTAATTATTTTAGTTAATTAGATTTGTATTATTTCTATGAAATCTATAATAGGCAGTATAAATTTCTATACTTTTTTAAATTAAAAATCAAATCTAAATTACATCGATCTTGGGTTAGAGATTAAATATTATAGTTGATATATAAAGATGAATGACGAGTTTAGTCAATATATATAAAATGCATGTCTTAAAGACAATAAAGAAGAAACGTAGATAGAGTAAAATTGATAGTGTAATTGAAGACGAATTTGCGCGCGCACGACGAGGTCGGCTGTAGAAATAGGTGCGCGCGCGCAGTGTCGCCAATCACGCCTATCTCCCCTCCGCAGGGCCGGCGGTGCGCTGAAGGCGGCCAATGGCGCGCACGGGGCGGAGCTGAGCGAGCTCTCGGGCCTGCTCCACGCGGGGCTCGTGAAGCGCGAGCCTGAAGACCTGAGCCGCAAGGTGGTCGACGAGCCCGAGCCGCACGCGCTCAAGCCGCCGCGACATAAGGTGCGTCACACGTCCGCACGCCGCCGTCGCGCGCGCACGCACTCACACACTTCCCTTACCGCTCACTCATGTATTATTTATCGCGGTTAGCGTACGATGCGCCGAGCAGCGCGCTCGCGACGCACTAGCCGCGCCCGCCCGCGCCCTAATCGGCCGGTCAGTGCTGCCCGCCCAGTGTCCACCGATGCAGGGGACCCAAAAGGACCGCACTACATCCCGGAATACTTTCGCTTTACCCGCTTTTCGTGAACGTGTGACATTCGAATAATCTTAGTGTACGTGAAGCTGTGAACTGTGATTTGACGCGGCATGTACGCGTCGACGTTGAGAAGTGGACAGTTGTCGTGGGAGAACGCGTGTAACAGACGCGTGTGTCCTCAGGTGGCGGTTGGCGAGCACAGCGAGGCGGCGTCGCCGTCGCCGGTGCCATCGCGAGCCTCCTCGGCAGGCTCGCTGCTACCGGACGCTGCCATGTATGCAGCGCAAATGTTCGCGCCGCCTGGTACCCCCAGCCCCACTCCTTATGGCGACCAATATTCGCGTCAACCTGCGACCTTCACTGGAGAACCTTATTATAGAGAGTACTTTGTTGCTGATGGTTACCAGCAAAGGGCCGCGCCGCCCTATGGGGACGCTGAGTCAGCTCCGACTTCAGCCTTTGGCGATCGATATGCGGCACCTCGATATCACAGCAAGAGTGTAATCGCAGCCGCTGGTCTAACAGTTGATCTGCCATCTCCTGACAGCGGTATTGGAGCGGATGCTGTCACTCCTCGAGATCATACCACCGTTCAGCAGGTCGGTGCCACGACTACGACGGATTTGGGCGCGGGCGGGCGGGCTTCACACATTCTTATCACATACTCGTAAACACACATCATACACAATCAGCTTTATAACAGTTGCGGACAGAACGATGAACTACTTATTCACTGAAATTTCACCTATTTATTCGTGTTTTATTTACATTAATAACGATAACAAAATATACGAACATTAATCACCACATTTATTTTAAATACTAAAATAACGACGATAATATATTCTTTGATAGATTATCATAAATGCTTTAAAACCATAACAGCTGAAGCCCACCCGCGCTTACGTACGTCATTGTAACATAATTTAGAAATTACGGTTTAGTTCTTAAGCTTTAAGTAATAGTATAATTTACAATTTAATTTTGCCAATAAGTATAGCTATACCTAATTATCGTAACAAGACGCCTACTGGACTCCAACATGAAATCAGCAAAGTGCGACCTATTTTAATAATGCATCATATTAGAACACAAACGGCAATAAGTATTGGTTAAATTGCAGTTACGTAGGTAGAAGAGGCATAATGGTTAGGTTCTGTTAATTACTGCTCCATTGATGTTACTACAGACAATAGACTTCAGACACCACGCGAGACCTTCGAGCAAATACATCAACCGCCCAGCATTGACTTGAAATTTATGGGTTTACACATTAAAATAACAAATTGACATGACTGTAACCAGGTTAAAGCTAAGTGGTTTTGAAGGACAGTTTGGCTTCAGGGTGTGGCGATCACGAGCTAAACACTACAATGATCTAGTATTTAACGGTTACCTATCTACCTTTTGTTATTAAATTTATGTTAAGGTAACTATATTTATTTGCATACCTTGGAATTGCTCTTTTTGCTAATTATCAAACGTTATGTGTCATGTCATTTATTAATAATGGCTAATATGAAATCATAATGTAATTTAATTAATAGTAAGTTGTTAAACAAAGTTAACGATTTGTATTAGTTTTGTGCAATCAGCCCCAGAATTAAATACTTATGTAGTGACGTTGTTGCATTATCAATGATATTTTAATGTGAGACCATTATCATAAATTAGTGACCAATTAGACTTAATTTATGGTAGATTGTGACATAAAAATCTCTTCATTGCATTTGCTTATAGGTTCGCTCGTTATGTTTTCCTTAAATTCATTCATGTTCAATACTGCGAGCCCTTGATATTTAATTATTCTTTCCGCATCCGAAAATTTTATTCATACGAATATGTATAATTCTAATTAAAATGTGTTTACTATATAATATATAATAATAATAATAATATAACAAATAATGATAATATAAAAAAGTTTCACTTTTGAAAATTTTAATGACTATTTAGAAATTCATATCATTTCTGAAGTTCAAAGGTGTCAATGTAATTATTGAGTAAGTAAATTAAGTGCTTATTTAAATACTTACATGGCATCTTCCATTTTTCAGTTTGTTCAATAAAAGGATAACGAATTCTGATTCGTTATCCCAGTTGTTTAATACATGCTACCTACCCAGAAGGAATGTTAAATATGAAATTCTCGTAACCAATACTTAATATAAATGAGATGTAAATGTTGTGGGTCCATGTGCTATTCTTCATATACATTATCTGAATAAAAATCTAGAAAATTGACAATGTCTCATTGTTATCCCCACACAGAGCACAGGTGGGTGTATTGTCATCACTCCATAACAATATTGCAAAGAGAAGAACTGTGTTCGACACGTCATAACAAAATATTTGAAGCTTATAATACTAATAGTGTCTTATTTAGCTAGCTAAATCTACATTATAACAAAATCAATTTTCATTACTATATCTACTATTAACCCCTACTTGAAGGCATGGCCCGCCTTAGTCATATATCTTTAAAAATTTATTTGTAGGGTTTCTAGAGTAAACAAGCTCTTTTTATAAAACTTCATCCTTTATTAGAACTTCGATTCAGTAAAGCTACTATTTATATAACCATATTACATAAATTTTAACTTTAACAAATTGGATTACGTACCATAAGTAAGTATCTACAAACTAAAAATGTTGGAGTCCTGTATCCTGGGATCTTAATTTTCTTAATTTTTTGGTATACGTCGACAAAACGACAGTGTTAATGTTAGTCAATGTAAATAATTTTACAGTATGTTAACAAATAATTATGGTAGAGAAAATATGTATACACCATACAGGCAAGAGAAATCACTACAATAATCTATTTCTGTTGAAATATGTCCATGTTTATACCATTAATTTATGTTTGCGCAGTCGTTCGACTACACCGTAATCTGCCAGCAGCCCGGTGTGGCGGAAGATGGACGGGGTACACCCTCAGCTCATCATTCGCCTGCACAGCCCCCAAGGACGCGACCATGGCATGACTTTGGCAGACAGAATGACGCAGACAAGATACAAATACCTAAACTGTAAGTAAATAGATATATATAGGAGTAATGATAACGGATCAATACTTCAACATAAACTAACTATTTTATTCCATATCGTTTTAATTGCACTCATTGTATAGACGAATATTTACCGCGATTATTATAGGAAAACTCTGTAAGGTAATGTTGCTGTTACATTAATTATGGTAGTAGTTGATTTGAATTTTGGTATTAACCAATAGTAAACATAAAAACGATATTTTATATACAAACTTAAAATATAATCTAAAAAGTCGAGGTGATAAAATGAATGGTTATTTGTCAGGAGTATCTAGTTTTGTATAGAAAAACACTAAGTAAAAACTATGTGTGTGCAACTGAAGAATACAAAAACTCTTGTACCTATTTACTTTAGTAAAAATATACTTGAAAGTAAATAACTTAACCAAAATGATGCTAATATGCACTGGGTTTGGAATATTGAAGAGGTAGAGCGATTAATAAAATATTCCATTTACTACCGGATAAACTAGAACTTTAAAATTTAAAAAGAAATTTATTCTAATTGGACAGAGTAATTAGAGTACATTAAACAACACTTATTAGAAAAAGTATTTACAAAAGTAGTATAGAACTATTGAAAGTCAACTTCTTCCTTCTAGTTCCATGGTACTACTCTTATTACTACTGATAAGACATGAGACTGAGTTACGGTAGTTCTGCTTATACAAAACTTTAGAGGAAACTAAATAAACAATTATCTCAACTATGTGTAGTGTAAAATAGAAAAGGAAGTTCAGTGTTTCTTGATGATATATATTTATATAAGAGGGACTTAATCGAATATGGTTAATAAACTATTAGTAGAAGTATCTAAGTATAACTATTAGTGCGTTTTAATAGTACTTTTAATTTTATCCTATCCATTGAATAAACTACCTAACCAACTTTTAATAATTTTATTAATTAGGTAACTTAACTAAAAGTATTATTTTACTATTTATTAGACTTTTTATTATGTAGCAACTTAAGACCGCAGTAGGGACATTAAAATATATAGTGATTTAATAGTTTAATATTTATTCATGTTGATCCGGAAAATCTCCGAAAATGGCCTTTGGAATTCTATCTAATTTACATAACGTTTACGTTACATTTATTAGTTTATATGGCCGCTATATGTATTTAGTGTAAGAAAATAAAATGGGAACAAAACGCACAGTTAATTGTCGTAAATTGATAGCGTAAACATACAAAACAATTTTATCAAACCGTTTTCCTGTGTAACAATGTAATTTGTTAGTATGAGTAGCTAGGCATCAGCCAACATTTCGAGCGATTGTTTACCGACCACTTTGCACCTTCCAGGTTGTTATAACGTAGCCCTTTCTAAGTAAGATGCTTTGATCCGTACACCTATCCAAAGTAGACTTTAATCAACGCAGTTAGCGGCATTAATGAGTTAAGTACCGGATATTGTTTAGTTAGAATTTTAGTAATCTATCGAGATACCCAACAATAGTCGTAAACTCAATGTGTATCAGAATAATGATGTTGATACTGATATTTATTAAAGCATTAAATATTGTATTTAATACTTGATGGAAGTTACGTTGAAGTATTATTTATATGAAGTCTACATATTATATAAACATTCATATCCATGTCCAATACACGAACTGTTCTGGTATTATTAAACTGCATAATTAATTTATTAATTTAGACATATATTTTAGGACCGGGATATGTTTATATATGTCTTATATAGGTATGTTAAGATAATTTAGATGCACGTGAGAATTCTTATTATAACTTATCAACAACTTAAAATTTGTTTGTCATGTGTAAATACGCAATTACAAAAATAGTATTAGGTATGTATTTATTATTTAATTGTTTATGATTTATGATAATCAGAAGTAGCCCTCAAGGTTACGTAGGGCCTTCCTTAATTGAGGAAGAAGTTCATTATTTTATTATTATTAAGTACGACAAATGCAGATGTTATATGTATATGTAACAGTATATATTACAATTGCACAATTTTAAAATTTGCTTACTTATGGGAGATATAAGTTCGTTTAACTAAAGCACTATAATCGTTTTAATTATCTACATTTGGTAATGCCTGTTTATAATGGTCCACCTGATGATAAGTAATCCAATTTCCGTTGCCAATATACTAAAACGGCACTACAGATATAATGCCCACGATATCACTCATACATTGCCGATCCTAAGAATGTCATGTCCCTTATCCCAAAATTTCACTGTCTTATATCCCCTATTAGTGAAACATATTGAAACCTAGTTGTACTTATTAGTAGCCTTGGAAGTCGAAGACCGATTCAGTAAAAAAAACTTATTACAACAATACAAGAGAAAGAATTCAAAGAAGCCGGTTTCATCAATATAAATTAGTATACAATTTATAATATCCTCCTCTTTTCCTCGTGAAATTGAATCTCGTGCTCTGGTTCAATAAGTTTTAAATTAATTTCATTAACAATACGAAAATATTTTTAGTAAGTGCTAATTCTTTCTTTATATACTTTATAATTGTCGTTACTACTGAGGAATGTGTAATTGGAATTTGTTACGTTGTAAGTAATGTAGTATTTTAGTCAATAGATATCATAATATGTATAATATACAGTAGGTTATGTTCAGGCAGTTATGTTTATATTACGCGAATGTAAGGTAGTATCTGTACAACAAATGAGTCACTAATTGGCAAATGTAATTACTAGTAGGTATATAGAACGACTAACATGTATTAAACACTATTCATTTATTATTTACTTACATAAACATGGAAACTAACGGATATTACTTATGTTGTAACTCACTGTGCCGCAAATATCGATAGATATTATTTTTACAAATAAATAGTTTATTAATATATTAAACATACTTTACTGCTATTGACAATACCTAATTTAGAGATTTTACAAATTTTATATATGTGTGTGCAATACGTATACATATGTAGTTAGTTACACATTGACTCTGATAATGTAAAAGTTTAGAGTGTATGTACATTTACATATTTTTTGGAATGGTAATGGTACCGTGTGCTATCCACTCATTTAGCTTCAAAATTTATTTATTAGATAAATATATATTTGAAGCCTGTATTAGTAAACAACTTATTGCAAATACAGGGATATGGGATCTCAGTATATTTTTAAAGATTCTTTTATATTTATTATAATATATATCAACAACATACATGACATTATATATGATGAATGATCATGAATTTCTATTTTTTTACATGCAAACGTATAAAAGAGGAGCACATGTAAGTATGTATAAATAAATAATAATATCAATTACTATTCATTTTATAAAATCGTTACAGAATCGGGCAAGTTTTCATTTGAATTAGTCCATTTACAGTAGCCAGAGTCCCTAACCTAAGAAAAAGTAATTTAATTTTTGTTTTGAGAACAAGCACCAAACGTAAAATATAAGGCTGTTGACAATCGGTAGATACCTTTTGAACAAATCGTTAAAGAAACCGCGCAGGCGACACGGCGGAAGCATTCGTCGACATGATAAGTGCATTAGCATTATTATCTCCATAATTACTTGCTTGCATTTGGCCCAAATAGCTCGGTCGCGTCTACCGTCTTAAATTACCTCGATGCTGATACGCGTTCGATTACCAGCCCGGGCAGACATCACCTTCTTACGAACTCATTCCGATGCCCTCACGAATGTGTAGACTATTACTTACCGAGCAGTTAAGTATTTTACGAAGACCGCGCGATGCACCAATAGCCACTTTATTTACTCGTCGAATACTCAAAGCAGGAACGAGCTTTTAAAAGGTAGTAACTTAATCAAGTAATGTGTGCGTATGTGGTTATCACTTCGAAAACCTATTAGTTTTGACGGTACTTTCGTCTTCATCGGGAAATAGAATTTTTGAATTTATCTTTTATTGTCTATTTACTTTTTACCCTTCAAGTACGCATTTTTAGATAGGTTGTATGTAATAGATCTTTACTACTAAAATTCGAGTAGCGGTCAATTTATTTGGTTTTCTTTTTTTAGTGCTAATAAAAAAATTAATACAAATCTCTTCTATTTATGGCCTTAAAGAATTCTATTTAAGTGTTCAGTATGCGTAATTAGCAAATATTATAATAATATTCGTCTTTCATTAAACACCTTCATTTCGTCTTATTATGAAATATTAATATGTATAGCAGATGGTAATATATTTTAGGCACTTCCAGTAATCTGTTTTCATAAATAAATTAACCATAAAATACAAGTAGAGATCGCGTAGTTGTGTCAGTATGTTATTATGTGTTCAAAGGCAGACACGCCAATCAAAGCAGCGCTATTACGTTGGTTAAGCGTTCTCATTAACTTCTGTTCCCGTCTGGCCGCCTGCCATGATACCTCCCTACCCTTTATCTGCTATGAACTATCTACTCCTTGTAATCATTAACAGATAATGTACACATTCAATCTTTTTAATATAGCTAACTCGTTTTGTAAATATTTAGTATTACGTATAACTTTCTTGATTAAGTTAATATAGTTTGTCTTTGACTCCAGATTCTAAAAGATGATAGATGATTTATGAAATAAAAATATTTTTACGAGTAAGATCCTATTACCAGAACAACAAGGTGACTCATCTATATAGTTTACCTATATAGTAAATATGAATTATACATACATATGAGTACGATTAATTTTGTATGACCAACCGAATTTCAGATAGATGTCTTACGCTTAAGATGTAAAATTAACAGTCTATGTAGTATAGTTTCATTAGCAAATTATAAAGTACACAGTAACTTGGATTAGATTCTTGTAAAGAGGCAATTCTATCTGCTTTTACTCCTTGTATTCAGCACAGATTATTTTTAAGTATGGTTTGTTAGGACGATATACGAGATATCTTCGGACTGACAATGTAATATGATTGTTTTCGCGACGCGGTAACACGTTTATTATAGACCTTTATAGTCTGAAATATATTTATATATTTCAGTGTAATTGAAGAGAAACTTTAATCTACCCTGTTGTAATTATAGAAAACATTAATTTTGATATCTATTTTCACAGTAAAAATAACAACTCTACGAGTACATATATTTTCGCAAACAAAAGTAAACAATGTGCTGATTTATTGTAGTCGCTGATGTAAGTAAGGTATCATAAATGTATACAGCCAAAAATAAAATGGCTTTAGTGAAGCGACAACCTCTGAAATTCGTAAGAATATAAAGCATCGTGTCAGGCGAGACATTCGTCTCAGATACACAATGGTGCTTTCATTTCCATCATCCAATTCGATGCAACTTACGTGTGTCCATTGCCTACTTATAGCGATGTGCCACTACCACTTTTTCAATAACTTATTTTTATTTCTCAACTACCAAGATTCCCATGTGTATGGTAATTAACGTAATTATTTTTTACTACTGCATACTTTACAAATTAACAAAGCTCAAAATACTTGAGATAATTAAAACGAAAGACACGTACCTATATAGCAGACCACATATGATGTCAAGTATTTGCTCATGAATATCGTCCATGTAAAGAATACGTCAGCACCTTTAAAATATATTTTTAGTTAATTATTTATTATATAAAGGATATTATTATGTCTTTCTTATTTTTAAACTTTCGGGTTTAGTACACATTATTAATACAGTTAAACGGGTTTTTACGCGAATGTTAATTATTAATATGCCGCGTTTTTACGCAGTAGTATTAATGGATTAATATAAAAACAATTATTTCATAGACAGTTAAATATAAACACGTGCCCACTAAATAAAATCGTATTAAATAAGTTATTTAATAAATATCCAGTCATTCATTACTTCTGAAAACGATCAAGACTATCGGCAAAATTTTAAGAAAACCGTGTCTATAATGAATGCTTATAATAGGCAAATGTGTGATTGAAATCTAGATAGAGTGGCAGTCGTAGTATACTCGTGTGTTGCACATTTGACACTATTTAATTTTAAAAATAAGTTCGTAAATACTAAAAATATATAGCGCAGTAATAAGTTCAACTATCATAGAAAGTAATGTTAATAGGCATTTGCAAGGTTTTGTGCTTAGTCTGTATGGGTTTCAAACAAAGCCGGATTTATGCGCATCTAATTTGGCAGCGGTGCACGCGTCACCGCTGGACGCCAGACCTCAGCATCTTATCGCGGCATGCGTTTTTATTGTGAGCACTTTGTTGTCGCTACGTTCGAGACTTTTTGCGACTCATCAATTTCCTCGCCTGCTCGATTGATTTATTCATGAAAGGCCCTTGTCCTCACGCAGGAAGTGCCTTTTTTCGGTTGCTTCGTCGCTGAAATTTGTAATGAAGCTCATTCGAAAACAATGTGTTATTTATTTTTGAATAAGATGAACTCACGTTCTCGTCTGTAAATCTGGACTTGAATGGCCGTATATAAATTGGAAAATAATGGCTATTTTTCAGGTTGTACCAAAAGTAAACAGTTGCATATTTCAAATTCGTAATAGGCTGTAAGATAAGGACTGGTCGTCAAGAATAGTAAGTTAACAAAGGGTAGTTGATACGACAATAGAGAGCAACGTCGCAAATGTAAATTGTGCTTGGAATCACTTAGAGAGCATCAGATAGGCGTGCGCCGCTGCGACCGATCCGTCACTGTCGGTCTGCGTTTGCATTACACGGCTTTTATCTGAACGAGCTCAGTTTAAATCGCAAACATCAGCGGGGCTGTTCACCAAATTGTTTTCAATAAAGCTTAAGTAATGGTGCAACCACAAAATGTAGTTATCGATACAGGACCGCATAACTATCTGAGACTCCGGTTAAATTTATTAGCGGATTAAACATTTCATAACAATTTATAGCTTTTTATCGTGTTACATAAGTTATCATGGGGTACAATGGACCGGGTTTATAATGACTTCGCCATTTCCTACTGTAGTTTTCTCTTAGTATTTTGACGTGGGCGGTGTTGGTTGAGATCAGCGCAGAGACAAGAAGCGGTGGATTACGCGTGCAGCTGTGCTGACACGCTGCTGGCCCTGGTGCACTAGCGCGTAGCATACTTTAATATACAGCTAGACAGTGTCAATACAACGAGTCTCGGCACGCGATGACCACAAAATTAGCGGGGTTTTCCTTCCGTCCAGTCGCGAGCTCAGGAAATCACGAGAAAACACAGTTTTTCATTGCGTACTACGAACTGGATTTCCACGCCTTTATGTAACGACGCCGCTGTCAAGCTTTACTAGCAGTGCAATTAAGATTTCCACTTTTTGTGCACTTTTATTGCTTTACTTCATGGAAACTTTATTGTCGAGAACGTGTATCCGTAGATAAATATCTCAAAGAAGAAATCGCACTTTTTCTAAATGTCTCACAAACCAGCTCTAATTGTGCATTTTATTTTCTGACAAACATTAATAACAAGTCACCTACTGGGCCATTCATGATAAGTGTACGCTTTGGATGCTTATCTTCATCTAGAACACGGATAAGGTGGTGTTTACATGTCGTGTCAACATGTCATAGGTATTTGGCGTTTTCATAACAGTTACCTCTCATTTTACATTTCTATGCAGGTTTTCCCCGTACGGCTTCAAGTACCACCTGGAGACTGCGAGCAGTAGTTCACAGAGGCGCGAAGATGACAGGATCACCTACATCAACAAGGGCCAGTTCTATGGCATTACCCTAGACTACACGCATGATCCGGACAAACCTTTAAAAAATCAAACAGTCAAGGTAAGATGTTTTTGTGGTATCTCATATTATTAAACTTTACTTCATAGGATTATAAACTGTAAGTTCATATAATATCGTTATTATTATATATACAGCAGGAAGGTGTTATATTTATATTAAAACTAGAAGTTAATATGGGATCTATGTTTACTTGATTTTATAGTAGTTATTATATTGTATAATAGTATTAGGTAGAGTCAAAAATATACATGATTTATGGAGTGCCACTTATGGATTTCTGATATTGATATAAATACATAAGCGCTATTGTACAGTACGTAGAAGGTATTATTCAAAAGATTATTTATTTTTAATAATATAGTTATTCTTGGAGAAAAAGTATATATGTAAAAGTATGTAGATTTAAAAAATTTCTAACTGCATACTCATCATTGCGTTGTTCTCTGGGTGTGAGTGAAACAAAAATAATTAAATATACTATACATTTTGTACAAATTTCTATATTTCGTAACTGATTCTTAATATTGTTTGAACATGGGTTTAATATCTGGGCATAATAAACAGAAACAGTTTTTTCATTAACGCGTAATTTGTAACAAACTCTTTGAAACGTCAACTCTGCTCGTATGGTTCCTATTCTGTGTGACATTGCACGGTTTATGAATAAGCAATAAAGCCTCTGATCCATTTTAACGACATTTATTTAACATTTAATGATTAAGTTACTACAACCTGTTTTCCGAGCATCAATCGTAAAGCACGTTTGACTTCAAACGTCTCAATTTATAACCAGATGATAGTGACAAGCATACCATATCAAAATAACATCTGGGTATATATCTTTTTATTATGGCAATACCACGATTTGTTTAATATTTTTTAGAATATCATTTACGTTAGGTACTTGTATTTGATTGCCTTTTTAACACATTTATTTACTAATATATAACTTTTCAATCGAGTTGGTACATATCGTTCCACAAAAAAACTTCCATAATGACAAAATTAAATCATTATTTTAAGCAAGAATATAAAACATTATTAAATAGTTTTATTATCTTCGAAGAGAAAATTATTTAATTTGTTTTTATTTCATTTGGTGTCATTCCTCTTTTGTACCAAAAAAATATATGTAATGTAATGTTGATTATAACAAACAAATTAATGCTCTTTCTCTTTTGGTATCACTTGCATTGTATATCTACATAATATTTCTTATTCATTCCACATATGAATATACAGTCCATGAATTATTCGTCCATTCGCCCATCCTTCACAGATTGTCAACTTGATGTAGAGAATTTTAGATTCATCATATTATTTTAATAATTTACAAAATAGTTCCTATGAAATTAAAATAAAACATTTCAATAATGTATTCACACATGTCATATATTTATTCATAATTTGTAATACAGATAATTCAAAATTAGTTGAATATCTATTTCTAGCACATTACAGACATTAAAACACCGTTAGTTATATCATGTTTTCAATTAACTGTAAATAATATAATAAAAGACTTTAGTAATAAAACGCAAAGAACAACCTAGTGTATAGCGTGACACGAATACACAATTATGTATATTGTGGGAAAATATTGTTCTAGACAAAAGATTGATACAGCATTGATAGCCACGTGATGCGTGGAAATCGGAAATCCCTCTCACATTATTGTTTCTTCACAACTTCCCGGGAAAAAAGTGACAGATTATGTGGGTAATACGTTATTTTTTTCAAACTCATTGGATTTTCTAGAATAACCGGACAATCCACATTCGGTAAACATGTTATTCTTAACACTTAATTGTAATTATGTGTTAACTAATTTACAACTCGCTAGTTTTCCCGCGCAACTTTGTCTAAGTTACATTTTCACCGTTTTTGGCAATATTTTACATTATAAGTCCGCTCCTATCATTCGTAGTATAATGTTAGGTATATAGGGTTCTCGATAAATTGGCTACCAAATGTATGAATGAATATAGATCAATAGTTTTGGAATATCCAACCTTATAAACTGTATTTCTTTATAATATTACAATATAGTTCGAGCATCTACATCTAAGATCTTATAATTCTCTTATTTTCGCTAACTTGTTAGGTATTCTGTAATGTTATGAAACGTAGTCGATATTCAATAGGATGGTTTTGTTTCCTTTTTCTTGTACCCAGTTACATATTCGAACACGGTTTATCTCGATTCAATGGCTCTAGATCAGAATAATCAGAGATACAATGCGACATACGTTTGAAGGTATTATTAAGGTAGTAAGTGGGCCGCGGTTCAACACTGGCAGCCGCGGCCGGCCGGCGCGCGGTGTTCTGCGGAGCAGCGCGCGGCGATGGCGTATCGCATTCAATACTCCAGTAGGTATAAAACGCGCTTATCTCGGCGCAATCGAGTCCGCATTGTATGGCCGTGCCCGATAATTAAGACGACGCTTTTGACATTCGCCATATACGAACACAATGACCGCCCCAGGAGCCCATGCCTCCGCAGGATAATATCGCTCCCTTTAAACAATAACCCGTATTTACGGTATTATGATAAAATAATTTCGATGTGGCAAACATTGTGTTTGTATTTTATTAACAGGAATTCTTTTATGGGCTAATATGGTTAGTGATTATAATAAAGTACAATCCTGAGTCTATTGTGGTGTAGGTTACATATACTACATATGTAGGTATATTATAACATTCCACGTGAATAATGAACAACATTATTCTGTACTGCAACTTAACTGTACGCGCGTGGTTAATTAATTATATCGAATTGATTGAAAGGTGTGTTTACTTTAAAAGTGCAAATAATTGATAACTTTTTAATTGTATTCGTAAACGATTTACAAACCATGGCTGAAATATTACCCACACACGCGAATCGAATATCTTGCGTGTCAGAAAGCGGTTAAGAGATTTAAGAAATTTTGGTAAACAGAGATTGGTAGTGGGGTCTGGGCCAGACTGTGGTTTGCGTGGCAAGATTGTAATTACCATTCGGCACCGCCCTTGTTTTTCGGTGCACCTTTGCACACGTTCGTGATGTTATCGCTCACACGATCGGCACTAAGCTAAATTAACAGCTAAAATTGAGATTTTGTATCTAATTAAATAATGATGTCCTATATAAACAAAAAAGTACAGCTTTTCCCTCCATTCGTAGTCAAAAGTTCTCACGAAACAAAATTAATATTCGCATTACATTCAAATGACAAATGTAGTTTTAAAATGTTATCAAAAGATGCATTAAAAAAGTTAGTTGAATCCATTAAATAAGTTTGGTAAAAAGGATGATAAAAAAATCGATCAATCACAGAATGTAGAGGTAATTAATCATCTGGCTAGGTAAGCGGTCCTGTTACTTAATATTACACGTTTTCGAAGGGGTTGCATCTTGCAGGTCGTATGTCTTCATGCATAAAAATATAAAGTTAAGTTTTTTAATGAGATCAGCGCTATCCCTCATTAATCATTGCAAAAATATTGAGCATAATAAATGACACCGTGAAGCATCAATAAAGATATCATGAAGTTGTTAAAATATGGAAGGACTCAATTGAAAATATTTTTTGCACGTTATTCATTGCTGTTATATTTGTTTGCGGTTTCGTTTAGTTATATTAATAATTGAATTTACAGTCGATGTATAAACCTCAATTACAAAGTACCTAAATATAGGTGCTTACTAAATTGTACTGGTATGTTCAATGTTCCTCTCTCATTATCTATAACAACTTCATTGCATTTCATTTAGAAAATTGCTCACCTCAATTATCTAGTCTTTGCGGGATCTGTTGTAAAAGTACCTGAAACTAAAAGTTATTAATCTAATTAGGGGAGTTCAAAGCAACATGATGTTACCTATAAACCATAGTGACTTATGTCATATGTCAAATGATATGTAATATAATTTGGCGCTTCTGATAAACCACCACTTAGTCAACTCTATAGTTATTTGAATCATCGATTATAAACCGTATCTTGCGTGTCCAAAGTGCACCTACTCATTCAGAGCATTTTTTACACGAGTTTTTATCGCACACTGACATCATTGTGTTCACTTTCGTAGCAACGGAAACTCGCGTAACGAGACACTTCGTTATTTTTTTTTAATATTTTGCGATTTTAATGATTGCTCCCGTTTGCCTTTTTAAGGTAATCGTTAATGATGGTTTTTGCACTTTACATGTTGCGCTTGATGAGGGATTATAACGGCTGCATTCTGACTACGTGGTTCCTACAAAAGTGCACCTTTTGGCCGACATTGGCGAGTGAAGGGCTGTCATACGAGACAGAGACAATATTTCTCACGAAAAGCATTTAAGTGTAAAGAATTTTTCGCGAATAAAATTCAGATGAAAAACTTTCATGTAGATACCAAGTTTTTTTTATTATTTAATATTTTTGCCCGGATGTCGATTTTCATGTTTCCTACTTTTTTATTTACACACACATTTCATTACATTACAGGATACGTCTAAAAACAGCACAACATTTTGTCTTACTAGACTATATTAATTACACAGTTTTGTGTTGTTGTTGTTGGATACTGTATACCTAAGTAAAAGCTAAAAACATGCATTCGTATTTTTAAAAAACAAGTTACCGATCATGGTAACAATCAATCACATGTCGAGAATATGGAGATGTCTTTGATTCGGCCATTGTTATTTGCTCACTATAGTGTAAAAAGTAGGGTGAAAATAACCCTTATTCTTCTGCCCTTGTAATAAGCAAATATACATGCAAAAATAATTTAAATGCTAATCGTAAAAAGATTAAATATTAATATTAAAATAACTTTTTTATTTAAGTTATTAAAACCCAAAACGTATCTAACAATGATATGACGTACATATTGGTAATTACACGGGCACATACGGATAAAAATTATTTTCGAAATTTTGAAGAATTATTATTGTTGTTGTCTTAACATTTGCATATCAATTACTTTTCCGCATTTCTTCAATGATAACATAATATAATTATGAATACATTTTTTTGCGATTCTCTATATGGTATTTATTATCAAT